GTTGGAAGTTCAGGAACAGCTTGCCAATTTCGAAAAGTTTGAGATGTGGATCGGCTTAAGGTGGCAACAATCACCCAAATGCAGGGCCGGTTTTTGGCGGTTGAAAACTGCTCGAAAACGTTGCCACGGACAAAGAGCCTCCACAGTATGTTCGTCCAAAACAACCGCTGGCTTCACATAGTAATAGATTTCATTTTGAACACATCGGAAAGTTTGAGTTTCAATCTGGTTTCATGCGTAGCTTTGTTTTCATATAGGCTGTTTTTTTGAGCCGTGTGTGAACCTGCCGGTGTTCCTGGTTTCGTGAGACACTACGAATTCATGTTTGTAAACGATGACCGAAACCGTCAGATGCAAACATCTCAGCTTGTCAGTTTACGCCATGCATTGTGCGAAAAAGTTCCCTCCTTTTTTGCCGCACCTGGTTCTGGTGTCGCTTGCACAGCGTATGATTTGACCTGCACCAATGCTGGGTCCGCATTCTCGTATTCCGACAGTGTTGGTCTATCGTCGCAAATCTGAGCTTCGTCCAGTTTCATGTCATGTTTGTCTTCCACATTGAAGAGCTGTTTCGGCTCTTAATGCTTCGCTGAAGCAAACGCACATGTGCAAGTCTTCCGTGTGGCTCGTTCAGGTTGGCGTCACAGGCTGTTTCTTGGAAGGATTCAACGAATGTGGTATCCACCATGCCTGGAGCAAATCGCAACGAGTTGTGGGATGAAACATACATAGATGGGTATGCAGGGTGCTGCTCAATAGAAGGTGGGTGACCGTTTGCCATGGATCCTGTCCGCAACCAGCAAAGGTCAGCCGTAAAGAACGGTCATGACAGATTCTTCTCATTGTTGGGACTACGACTAGGACTGGTGCAACGGGCGTCGCATCTTCCAGCAGAGGCTTTTCTGGGAGACTGTGTGCTCATGTCCAATGTGTACTCCTGACACAACGTTGCCAGCATATCCGGTTGCTTCGTGGAGTTCTTTTTCGTCCACTGCTTCACCGGTGCCTTATCAGAAGTGTATACAATGCGCCAGAGACTGTTTGGGTGAGCTTCTGGAAATTCGTTCGAGGTGGGAAGCTTGTCGCAAACGCCTGTGCAAGTGGAGCACCGGCCTGGAGGCACCAAGGGATGGTAACAAGAAGCGCCGACATTTTTCGACTCGTTTTCGCGAGCATTTGCCTTTTACAACATGTCTTCGTTTCAGGCTCAGTCGTTGGATGGCCGGCGACTACACAGGCCTGAAGCAGCACACTGGGAGAAACTTTTTCGGTGGAGTCTTGCTGCGCCCCTGAGGCAGCAAGGCTCGCATTCACGCCGCCGCAACCCAGAAGCTTTCCATGGCCTTGCGTGATGTCTCCTGTCGCACTCGCAAATGGAAGGGTCTTGGCAGCGCTGGCGAGTTTGAAATGGCATGCAGCGGTCAAAGGCTTTCATGTCTTGTGGCATTGGCTCTCGTGCAAATCCAAGTACACATGCATTGAGAACTTCCTGCATTCCAATGTGCCGACAGATTCTCTTCGAGGAGCCCTAAACGGAACATATTCCCAAAACGCAAGATCGCTGCAACAGTTTTCAGGCTTCTGCCCAAGCTCAAGGAAGCACGGGGCCTGCCAGACTCGAATGCTAGGAATTGGCCCCAAAGTCAAAACAACACGTGCCTCGCCCCAACAATCTACACAGACATGGGAAACCCGCCGGAGACTCGCGATTGATGTCCATGTTGCAAACCGCACGGCAACCCTTGACCCATTGCCAACACACGTCGAAATGCAGGAAAAATTCAATTCTCGCTAGTGGAACTGTTGTTTATCTGGTGTTTGTCTTCATGCTTCCTACCCGAAAGTGGCTCCAAGCTTCAAAAATTTGAAGGCCCTCGGGGTTTTTCGAACTCGCGAGTGAAACTTGCATTCCCTGTTTTTTCGACATCCAGTGCTTAAACGCACGGCCTCTTACGGCGCCGTTGCTGTGCAAGAAGTGTGTGTAGGAACAAGTGTCAGCGATCGAGTGCAGCCCCTCGTCACCCCGTTGCTTTAAGCCGGAGACTCCGCGCCGCAACCGGCCGGTTGCCGCCTGGCGGGCACACCACGGCGCCGATCCGGGTTTTGGTGGGCGGCATGTCCGGCAGGGTGCAGCTTCGTGCTGCGACTAAACAACGGACACTAGGCTACAGACGTCGTTAGTACGGCGCGTGTTTGCGCCGTCGAGAAGGAACCAGTCGGAACCAGCTGAAATTTTTGGTGCGAGTAAGTAGCATCAATCTCCTCAGAGAGCAGTGCTAATTGGTGTAGCAGGGGCTTTCAGGGATAAACACGCAGACTTTTGTGGCAGGGCTTCTATGGGCTTCTGATTTCTATCGTAGCTGCGTAATGGTGTATCAAGCTCAGGCATACTTGAGCTGCAGCGACAGTTACAGGTGCATACGCCGCCTTCCTCAAGCACGGCTGATGCAGCACGCTCAGACGGGCTGCACCAAGCAGGTGTTGAAGTCAAACTGTGAGCCTCTTTTGTGGAGGCAGACTCTCCGAATCCTGGCTGCTTAACCCCGAGTCGACAGGCATGGGTGTGAGGAAGTTCTTGTGCTGCTTGTGTGCATGAAAACAGCAGCGAAGGTGGTCTGCACTGTGGCTCGTCAGACCACTCCTGCACCCGCAAGCACCATGAGTTTCACAGCTGCTCGAGGGCTCATGGCAACGCAGGCCTGGCTGGGATCGAGACAGACTGACGAGCACATCAAGAAACTTTTCTGCTATGGCAGGCCGTACCTGGCATCACGATGTCGGTCAGCACTTTGAGCAGCCAAAGCACAGGATGGTCGTGGCTTCGTGCTAGTGAGCTGCTGGTGATGGCAAGTGCCAGCTAGTCCATTCATGTTGAAGTTCCAGCTGCTCAGACTCTGTGACCTGGATATCCCAACATACGAGTCTGCCGAGTCTGCCAGCCAAACACTTTTTTCGTGCGTCCGGGGCAGAACGATAGGAGTGACATGTTGACAAATGCCGCTCGGCGACATTCGCACAGCTCTTAGTCTTTTTGCATATGCGCACATCATGGGGCAGCCGTGCGCTGCTTCACTTCCGACTGGACTTGCTTTGGCCTCAGGATACCTCAGGCCTTGTTCCATCTTTCGTTGAAGACAGCAGTGTGGGTGTGTTGTGTCGAACTGGTGCGGCTGCTGAAGGCAGTTCGGCTTGCAGAGGCCAGGTCTGCACACTGGCGCGAGTCTCCAAAGCTTGGCAGTCGTGTAGATCTCTACTACAGGGTGCGCGTGTCCACCATGGGCACGTCTCGAAGGGCCCGTTTGGAGCAGTCAGACCCGGGTTGCATCCGTGTCGCATTGTCCCGATGTCTCGTCGTTCAGATGTCCGGATGTCTCGGTCCTGTTGTTCGGGTGTCCCGAGGTTCCGTGTGCTTCCTTCGGTCCCGTTGTGTGTCGCGGTATCCTGGTGTCCCTGTGCTGCGGTCCAGGTCAGCGTCGCCTCCCCTTGTCGACATGTGCGGGGTGTCCGGGGTTCTGTATGTCATTGTCCGGGTGTGCCATATATGTCCCGATGTTTCTGATTCTCTGTGTCTTAGTGCTCGATATTATGCTGTCCCTCGACATGGTGTCTGGTAGAACCTCCTTGTCTCATTTCATTTTTGGTCATTATTTCGTTCCTCGCCATCAGCTTTTGGTTTCTGTCGGTGCTACCGGTTTGATGATGCCGCAGTGACGGCCGATCGTCGAAAGGAGGAACCACATTGGTGCGGTCCAGCATTCTACGTTCGAATATCTCGGAACTCAACTGCAGGGTAAGCGAACGGAGAAGTCAATTGATAAAGACGTCGGCAGTTTCTGTGCTCAAGCACCGAGCGATTCCCGATCTGGGCTCAGCTTCGGGTTGCATGATCGGATCGTCGTGAAAACGACTGTGTTGCTGTTGGAGTCCTGTCTGTGTGGGCCGCGCTTACTACTGGTTGGCCACTTGTAGCACTTGCAGGAGAAGTGTGTGTCCGGTGCCAAGAGCAAGTGCTTGTTCATGCATCGCGGGCACTTTGCCATGCATGCCCTGAGCTGAGACATCAGGTTGCTTGCTGCCAGGCGCAGGCCAGCATTCGCTTCTGCGGACAGACTTGCTAAGTCAGCCGTTGCTTCAATCGGAACAGGCCAGTCTGGTGGGAAGCGATGTCCGGCACCTGCCTCGAAGGCCACCGTTGAGTTTGCGACCGCACAGAGTGAATCTTGTGAGGTTCGCGAAGCTTCATGGGAAAGTTTCAGGGACATGCGTCGGAAATCTCGGCAGCATGACTTCTTCGTCGGTTGCGAGGCACATGTTTGAGCGACAGTGTGAGCGCCGAACACCTCACTTTAGACGTTCTTGGGAGGTGGAGATTCTGCGCGAGTATCATCAATGGCCCGAGGCTTACGAGGCAGCTCCGGCTCCGCTGCCGGCGCTCCGTAGAGAGCGGCAGAGTGCGGCAGAGTGCGCCGAGCTCTGTCTCTGTCTGAGGCAGCCGAGCAAACTTGCGGCAATTTGTATTGAGCTTTCTCGACTGCGCCCGGAAGGGCATGTGGCCACAGCCAGCTGCTGAGCCTTTTGCGGGGCAGCAGAGCGTGGAGTGTGGCGATGGCCTGTAACATCTTTCGCTGGAGGACAGACTCTTGCAGTGCATTTTGTGGAGCCCTGCCCTGAGTGCTTCAGACGTTGAGATGTGCACACGCCGGGCCGTTTGAGTTGCCTTGCGCGTGTGTTTTGCGGGATAGCATGGCGTGCCGAGGAGCTGAGCACCTTGTACAACAGCTGAGCGGCCTGGAGCTTCTGAGCCTTATGGAGGCGCGGTCAGCGTCTGTCTTTGCTGTTGATGGACACCCTGGGCCAAAAGCCGCTGGCAAGGCCTTTGCTTTACGACAGATTCGGGAGCACGATTCCAGGTATAGTCAGATGATTGTGTTGAACGGTGTTCGGAATCTTCGCAACTGCACGAGTGTGAGGTGTCCGGATTTTTTCGGTGTTGCTTCCGGGCGCCTTCGGGACGAGGCCATCTGTTTTGTTGATATGATATGTTGTGATCCGACGCCGACTAGCAAGTTGTCTGTCTCAGGTGAAGAGCCTGCATTTCAAAGACTTGCGGTGGGGCAGAACGGTGCTCTCCTCGGCTTCAGTCCTTCTTGCAAATCCTCCCAGGCGAGCCACCGCGATGTACAAGCAGCTGAACATCCGAGACGACCGCTTGCTTGGAAAGCGATCTACGCCCTTTCAGTGTTTGTCGGCACAGTTGGCAGGAGGGCCTCTTTCAAGCCTTCGGTAAGAGGCTGGCCGAGCTGCTGGAGGCGATGGGAGAACTGCGACGGGAGGCAAACCAAAGAGGGGGTCTTTGTTCCCGAGGCTTCCACTGCACTTTCCGTGCATCTGGGCAGCACGGCACAACTCAAGACTCGGCCCGGTCAGTTGCTTGTGAGGCAGTCTGGTCCAAGGCCAAAGAAAGGTCAAAGCCGAGGCGCAGCTTTACATCCACCGGCCCTATCAGCGTCAGTTGGAGCGTGGAAAGGTGAAGAAGGGGCTGTAATGGCGTTTCTCAATGCCTGCGGCCGACTCAACATACAACCTCCTGAGGCACCAGTCCAAAAGTTCGCGTTTTGCAGAATCTCAGGGACGCTAGCCGTTAGTAGTAGCTGGCAGAAGGTTGATGGCTTCTTCAAACGAGTGGGCCCTGCAGCTCGCGCCAGAAAAGATGTGCCGCGCCTGGTGGCGGCCAGGCTTGAGTAGTAGGGCGGTGACGTGTGGGCTTGGTGGCGTGGTGAGCTCGTCAACATGCCTTTCTTTAGCTGGATCATTGGGTGATCGCATTGATTATGTTCGATGAGAGCACCGGCTGAAAAACAACAGCTTCATCCAACTGGCTTGATTCGAGGCATTGGCGCAGCTTGCTGCCAAGTTCGGAATTGCAAGTACACGGGAAGTGGCGCAGCCGAACTGTCAGCTTGTTGTTGCGAGGCCATTCAACTTTAAGATTTCAACCCACTTGCAAGAGAAGTCTTTTTCCCTGCCATAGTCTCACATTGCCAAGGCCGACCGCATTCTGACAGTGGTGTGCGCAGCCTTTGAGGGCAACGCTCCAAGCAGCAAAGGCGGAATTAGCATGTCCCCTGTGTTTGCAGAGCAGACGTCCCACGCCCAGCCTCAAACCTAGCGATGGGGCACCTGGTTATGTAACAGCCATCCGTGCCCTTCAAGGCGAACTCTAGCAACCGGGGAATGCCAGGTTTGACTTCCGTGAATGAAAGCTCCCGTCGAGGCTATGCATCCCAAGCCATCACTGGCCAACTCCTGTTGGCTCTGATATTCGACGAATCCGCGTGCGAGACTCGAGATCGTGCGCTGGTTGCTGCCGTCGGCGCCGTGAATGCTTCCTTCGGCTGCAACCTGAAGTCCTTGGACGAGCAGCTGGCACGCCAGCTGCAGGCCCGTCCTAGCGTTGTTTGCAGTCGCTGGCCTTGCATGTCGCAAATTTCGGCTTGGCCTTTTCTGGCAGCCTCTTGAGAGGTCACCGAACTGGCCTGCCGGCTAGAAAGACCTGTCCCGCTGCACATGCTGGAGCGTTCTTGCTCTCACAGCCAACAGCAACAAGACGTGAGTAAAGCGTCTTGTACAAGGAGTGATTCTGCTGTGGCAGGAGCTCAAGGGGCTCGGTGGCTTTCTCGAAGGCGTGCACCGCTCTCTGGGTCATTGCGTGACCTTGCATGACGACATCGCTGATTTCCAGCTGCAACTGATTTGCCTGCCAGGAGTACGGTGCTTGGAGCAGTCAGTGTTTGGACCACTGCCGAAGTCTTCTTCTCAGCAGCACTTGCAGGTGGGATGTTTGCATGTCACAGCTCCTCATTCTGAACCGCTGCTGTGCAGGTTTCTGGGGCCTTGCAAGAGCTTGGTGTGCAACATCGCACGGAGGCCCGGGCAATGGAGACCTGTCAAGAACCGCGCTGCCTGACTCCGTGAGAATGAGCATGCCTGTCTCGAGCAGGAGCGGCTGGATCCCTACATTGCCGATGTTCGCTTGACCACGAACCAAAGCCTTATCGAAATCGATGGTATCCTGGCTTTTGTCACTGCAGGGTCGCAGTCAGTTCGAGGGAAGAGCTTGACGCGCCGGGTAGACTGCATAGTGCGGTTAAGTCGCAGAGCGGAAACGAGCAGATTTTGGGTGTCTGTGCTGTCAGAGTCACAGTGCAGGTACGGATGGTTGACATGAGGTGATGTCAGTGCTGACTCGCCTTCCGAGGTCCTTTACACTTCGTTGGCAGCACGCAGCGTTATGACATGAAGAGCTCCTTGAAGCATCGCTTGCTGACGAAGCAGGGATGGCATGTCCACCACATAGCCTGGAATGCCGCTTGTCCTTAGCAGGTATAACTTACTACTTTTGCCCAATCTGGGGCGCGGGGAAACCCAGACCGAAACAGGATTGGCCGGAGCATCATCACAGCCGCATGAGTTACATTGCTAGGCCCGGCTCTCAGGCGATGTGTTCACCAACATTCTTGCGCACCAGTGGTCGGCGACATCTGAGGCTCCTTCGCAGACCACCGCCGGGAAAGCATTTGCTGCAGTACACCCCGCTTCAGCCGAGCAACTTGCCCCAAGTCGACACAGAGAAAACTTACAAAAGACGCTTGATTTGTACAAACTGCAACTGAATGGCAGACCAGCAAGCTGGCAAGCTCGCGAAGCAAAAGGGAATCTCCAGAGACTAAAGCCTATATCTCACCCAACAGACCTTAGTTCATGCTGACAGACTCCAAGTCTAGAGTCTAGAGCCAGAGACTCAGATGAATATTGAACACCACGCAGCCCTTGCGCCCGCTTCAGCCTAAGTCCAGATTTCGGGATACATGGGTGCGATAACTCGGCCCGAAATCCTGGGTGGCCAAACCGAGTACAGACTCATCCGCAGGGCTCGATGAAGAGTGCCTCGAGCCCGGGAAGTAAAGTCTCAGAGTCACACCTGTCTCTTCCGCTCGCTTATGCATTCATGTGCGTGCATACCGTTATAAATAAATTCATATAAACACGTGCTCATGCATAGAGAGCGCGAACAGGTACATCTAAAAACATAACAGCATGGTAATGGGCGTAAAGATGTAATACATACAAGCACAAACTCTATACATATAAACAACCGTTAAGTGGACATAAGTAGCTACATTCAACAGTATTCCAGACATCTGAAGACAAGTCCAGCTAAAGCGTCGTAAACATGAGGACATAAGCACGAAGGAACACACATGCAGTTGCATATAGATGCATATGTTTTTTCTGGTGCGTTAGTACTGGATACACGTAGAGGTTTAGATAGACATTTCAAGACAACAGGGGCATGTAATGCGAGTAAGAATATGTATAAGGACGAGTGAGTGTACATCACTGCAGCTAAATACATTGAGTATGCATATGCAGACACATGCAAACTAAAGACCACTGCAAGGGGCCCCTACCACCAAGTAAGTCTCTCATCTTCAACTGAGCTTGTTAAGGCGCACATCTAATAAGCTATGCAAACCCCATGTCGTGTCAACGGAATTGCCGAAACCCCAACCACTACCTCAACATTCGTCAAGACAGCTGTTTCGCCCACGCGAAAAAATTCATTCCGGCAAAAAATCCTGGACACAAGTTGCTGGGATGTTCGCGTCTGCGTACAACTGGCCTGTGCCTTCATACCAACAATGGAGGCCCGATCTGCTTGGAATGTGGCTGGACCGAGGTATATGTGAGGAACATGCTGATCGAGATTTGGTCGAACAGACTTCTTGACTTCCTCCCTGAGATGTACATGCTTCTGAGCCGTCATGGAGTCCTTCTAGCACGAACGTGCTGTGCGGAGCTATTGAGGGCCTGGCACATTCTGCCGACACCCTGATGGCTTGCATCAGAGGCTTGGGCGCCATCGAAGCTGTTCCGAGCTGACGTGCAGGATGCAGACTGTCACGCCCGACTGTGAGCAAAACGCGGAGTAGTGAGCTTGAGCGAAGCCGGTGTTCGACTGTGTTTCGTCATCCAGAGCTGGGTTGTCCAACAGCGACTGTTCCACAAGAACGGCCAGAGTCTGCCCAAGGCGGTTCCGATATGCGACCGGCCCAAAAGTGCAGCACGCTAGCCACCAGCCCGTTGCGCGGGTGCTGCCAAAATCGGTGCCATCTTTAACCGCGGGTGCATTGCAATGAGGCTTTGTTTGGTCTGCAAGTTGCCTTCACACGTCATGTTTGTGGGCCGGCATCCTGAATCTGAAGGATCCTCGAAGAACCGGATAGACGAGGTGCCCCCGATTGTTTGGAAGATTGGTATCATGACTTGGTTCTGGCTTTCCCTGTGAGTTGCTCTGACCCGGTCGTTTGAGCAGGCCCAGTGCAGACGGACCCTGCGGTGGAAACCCCACTTCGACCCTCCGAGACATATTATCGAACAGGATCTTGTTGGGGCCGTTTCCCTAGTGACAACACCAAAGCGGGTGAACATGCAGACAGAAGCCACAAGCAGTGTCGCATGTAGGATGTAATGTGATGCGACCTGGGCACACGTGCAAGAGGGCTCTTTAGGCAGCAGCTTCCTGCTTTGAAAGGGACAGCCGCAAGAGCACACCACTCCCGAGGGGCAGCCGGGCCGGAGAATGGAGACATCTGGAGACGCTTGAAAGAGACCTCTCGCACAGTCTGTCGGCAGATTGCAAGCGGACTGCCCCATGCCGGGGAGAACGGTGGCTCTCCTGCTTGGCTTGGGCAAGATGCAGAAGCTCATAAAGCCACCAAAGTAGACTGTCGCAGGTTTGGCGACAGACTCAGCCCAGGAGGCTTGCTTCACCCGGAACAGCTTATGCAAAGTGCTCGAACTGGACACTGACGTGCAGCATGTTTTTCCCGAAGCCCCACCATAGATGTGGTTGTTGACCCTAGCTGTTTGAGTTCACCCCGGTCCTGACATCTCGTGACTACGAGGCTCCCAACTCCTGCTAGGGGCCATGTGCATTTCCATGCTCTTCATTTTGTGCCCCGTTGCCCCTCCGGTGAATTCGGTTTTGTCGCGGGGGGTGATTTCGTTTTGCCTCGGCACGGAGACATCTTCATCTTCAATTTGACCAGGTCAGAGGCTCACAGTCATTCATATGTTCAGTGTCACCCTCATTCTCACTCGCTCTCACCCTCGCCGTTAATTTTCGCTCTCACTCTCGTCCTCACTCTCTCGCTCTCACTGTCACCATTCTGTCCCTCTTTCTTATTCTCGCTTCAATTTCATTCTCACCCTCAGTCTCATGACCATTCTCGCACTCAATCTCCTGCATTCTCACTCCCTCATTCTCACTTCTGGACTTCCTGGATCCATCGTTCCGCATCAGGTCATGTACTCAACAAACAGATCGTATCCATGGGTATCAGTGAATTGTCGGTTCGACACTCTGACATGGTTCATTCGCACGTTTCGTTACAATTCTGGCGACGGTCTAACCTACCCTTCGTGCGCACACTGGCAACGATTCCTTCCGTTGTCTCGGTCACAGAGTTGTTGATGTGGCAGTGGACAGGTGCCTGCAGTTTCATCAAATTGGCACAGGCCAGCTTCACCACTTGCACGATCTCGTTCGCATCCAAGCTGGACGGTTTGCGTTGGCGAGTGCCGAGCCTGGCAGGTCTGCTGGGAGCCCAGCGACACCGAGCGCGCACAGCCCAGTCGCTCAGGTCCGGCGCAAGTTATGCCGATCGCTAACATTTTGTTGATGCGACTGCCAGGCTGGAATGGCCTCTGAAAGCACAGGCAGTCGCTGTACACACATACGATGTATGCGAGTGCGCATGTCTGTCGGGCACGCGGGGTTTCGTGTTTGTGTTCATTGTCAGTCACTGTGGCTGGGATGTGCATGCGCGTTTGTGGATCAAAACAGCTATGTCATCGGTCCTCCCTTCTTTGGGTCGTTCGTCATTATGAAAGGGAAAACTTCCTGGCAATGGGGGCTTTACGGTGTATGCGTTGCACAACAATGCCGTATCCACAAGCACTTTCGCCCTGCGTCTACATCGTTCTGTTCTTTGTGCTATATATATATATATGGAGAGAGGGCCAACTCTGCATGCATTGGTTCAGGTTGTGTGCTAGGCAGGATTGTATGAGACTGTATCTGCATGGAGGCGGTGTTTTTGCAGTCACTGTCCCATTGAGCTGAGTTTTCCGTCTACGTGGGCAGCTCGTATGGATTCTGGGAGCTAAGTCCCGAACTGCACTGACATGGCATGGCGCATGTTTCCGCTTTGTTTCATTTAAGCTATTGTCTTTGTCCTCTGTGCGTACTGGTGCTGGAAACGTCTGGACTCGAGTCTTGACCAGGTTTGATTTCACGGCGCTGCAACTGCTCCCATGGTTTGGGCAGAATCACATGACTCTTCATGACCCCGTGGGCGAACCTGGATTCCCAGTTTGCTGTTCGTATTCATGGTTTATTGCCTGTCTGTGTCTAGATTCTAGATCCGATTCCTTGCTTGATGCGGGGGTCGAGCATGTTGAATCGGTACCTTCACAGTTAAACGGCAGGAGCAGACGTTATTTTCACAGGGTAACTCAAATTTCTACTTTGCCGCATCTTTCTGTCTGTCTACATCTCTCTTGCTCCATGTGTCTTCTTATGCCTACATCGCCTACATCTCCATGTCTCACTTTCTCTCTGTAGATGGATGATGTCGGCATGCGTGTAGAGCAATGCATTCGGAAGGTGTGGCATTTCAAAGATCGGCGTAAGGTTCGATGTGATGCTTTCTCTGATAATTGTGTAGGGAATTGGGGAGACAATGCGAAATCTTGAATTCTGATCCGATGAGAAGATGCTTTATCACCCTTTGCGAGCTGCCCCCTCAGTAAGAGTTCGGCAAATTCCGCATGCGCCGCAACGATCAATCAGATGATGCGAATTGCGGCACAGATTTTGGAGAAGTATGTAATCAGGCGACAAGACGTTTTCCAGCTATGAGTGAGACAAGCTCTGCACTGTCCGAGTCACTATCCCTCGGGAGCTGACTAAACGCGACTTTCGGCAGTGTCGTTCAGCAGGCGAAGAGAAGGGGTTCTGTTTGACATGTCTGCCAAAGCTCCTAGTTCGAAAAAGCGTTGGCTGGCCTTGTTTTTGCATGGATCTCCATCGGAGCTGTGGAAGGTATGTCGACCTTAGCGCTGCGTTCGAATCAGGGCATCCATGCTGCTCAGGGTGCGGACGGAGGTTTGTGGGTGAGGGTTTGGGGTCCCGGAATGGTTCAGGTTACTTTTAGGGCCAGGGTTTCCGGGGCCGGGGCCAAAGAGGGTTTGTGCCTCTGTGTTCAGTGGATGGGTTTGGTGTGGGAGGTGAATGCGGGTTTTGGGGCATGAGGTTTTAGGGTTTAGGACTGGTTCATGTTTAGGGTTCAGGTTGATATTTCCAGGGCTTTGGGGGGTCTTGTGTGTACAGCTGTTGTCTTTTCGTGGCATGGGGTTGTTCTCGGTTCAGGGTTGCGGTTGTTCATTAACATCTGTCAAAGCTAGTTCCTGCACATGGTTCGGCTTCGTTTGGCCGGGGGGCTGTGGGCTGTGTCGAGTTGTGCATCAGTTCTCCTGACTTTCGAAAAGTTTGTCACGTGCTTCATATCCCGAAATGGAAAAAAAGCATATTGTTTTGCACGTGTTCTAGGGGTGTCGCCTCCATGAAACTGTGACGTTCGTCAGCACTACGTTAGTGAAATGCATTCGGACTGTATATCGCCTAGACCTGCAGGAGCATCCGAACCAGAGCATCTATGCTTGCAAGCTGTGTACCGTGCATGTTGACGAGAGCATACGAGAGCCACCAATCCATCTGAGCATCTGAGTGCACCTCTATGGCAGCATCCATCCTACCAGCTGGCGAATTTGTTTCCTGATGACTGAATGCATGTCAACGAGAGCATCCATGTAACGTCTGCTAGTAGTGGTGCTGTTTGGTTGTTGGATTGTCCGAATCAAAGCATCGATGGTCCTAGCTTGAACTGGTTTGGTTTGGCTTTGGCTTGGTTCATAGCGGTTTTGAGGTGTTTGGGGAGTAGGAGCATGGATGTGCTGAGGTTTTCGGGTTTAGCAACGGTTCAGGTTAAGTTAGGGTTGGTGCTTCCAGGGCTTTGGGGGATCTTGTGTGCACAGCGTTGATTTTTCGTGGCATGGGGTTGCTATCGGTTCAGGGTTGCGGTTGTTAACGTCTGTCATAACTAGTTCTTGCGCATGGTTTGGCTTCGTATGGCTGTGGGGTCTGTGGGGGTGTGTCGGGTGGTGCATCAGTTCTCCCAACCTTCGAAAAGCTTGTGGCATATTTATATATCGAAACGCAAAGCACACCTCTTTGCAGGTGTTCAAAAGGATCGCCGTTTTGAAATTGTGACTTCCATTGTTTGTCAGCACGGCGTTAGTGGTTTGCATTCGGACTGTATATCGCCTAGACCTGCGCGAGCATCCGAACCAGAGCATCTATGCTTGCAAGCCGTGCACCGTGCATGTTGACGAGAGCCACCAACCCAGAAATGTTGGCTTCTGAGTGCACCTCCATGGCAGCATCCATTGCTGCCAGCCGGAGATTTTGTTTCCTGATGACTGAATGCATGTCAACGAGAGCATCCATGTAACGTCTGCTAGTAGCGGTGCTGTTTGTTTGTTGGATTGTCCGAGTCAGCACATCAATGATGCTCAAGGTCTGAGCGTTCAGGGTTTAGGATTGGTTGAGGTTACGTTTGGGGTGGGTGTTTCCAGGCGTTTGTGCGGGTTTTTGTTCTTCAGTG